CTTTTAAAAGACAGAAACAGGCAGATGGATGTAAAACATAATTCAACTACATACTGTCCACAAGACACTCGCTTCAAAAGTAATGATACAGGCAAGTTAAAAGTAGGACAGAAAAAGATACACCATGCAAACATTAAAAAAAAAAAAAAAAAAAAAGCTGGAGGCCAGCCCAGTGGCACAGTGGTTAAGTTCAGCATGCTCCACTTTGGCAGCTGGGTTCATGGGTTCATATCCCAGGTGTGGACATACACCACTCAGCAAGCCATGCTATGGCAGTGACCCACATACAAAATAGAGAAAGATGGGCACAGACGTTAGCTCAGGGACAATCTTCCTCACCAAAAAAAAATATATATATATACATGTATATATATAAAAGCTGGAGGGGTTATATTAATTTCAGGCAAAGGAGATCGCAAAGCAAAGAATATTGACAGAGACGGAGAAGGACATTACATAATGATTAAAGGAACAATCTACCAAAATGACAGAGCGATACTAAATATGTATACACCAAACAACAGAGCTTCAAAATATATGAAGTAAAAACTAAGAGAACTAAAAAGTGAAATAAATCCATAATTATAGTTAGACTCTTCAACACCGTCTTCCAACAACTGATAGAACTAGACAGAAAATAAGCAAGGATACACAACTTAACAAAACCATCAAGCAACACAATCTAATAGACATTTATAGAACACTCCACTCCGTAACAGCAGAATACACTCTTTTCAAGAATCCATAGAACATGTACCAAGAGAGACAATATCCCAGGCCATTAAAAAAAGAAAAAGTTTAATAGAATTGAAATAAAATGTGTTCTCTAACCACAGTGAAATCAAACTAAAAATCAATAAAAGAAGGGTACAGAAAAATCTGCAAATACTCTGAAATTAAACAACACATTTCTAAATCCTTTAAATTTTATTTATTTTATTTTTCCCCCAAGGCCCCAGTAGATAGTTGTATGTCATAGCTGCACATCCTTCTAGTTGCTGTATGCGGGATGTGGCCTCACCATGGCCGGACAAGCGGTGCGTCGGTGCGCTCCCGGGATCCGAATCCGGGCCGCCAGCAGCAGAGCGCGCGCACTTAACCGCTAAGCCACGGGGTCGGCCCATCTAAATCCTTTAAAAAGGAAGTCTCAAGGGAAATCAAAATAATACACTGAACAAAATGAAATCAAAATACGACATCAAAATTTGTGGGATGCAGCTAAAACAGTGCTGAGATGGAACTATATACCACTAAATCCTTACAAGAGAAAACAGAAAAAGTCTTAAGTCAATAATCAAGCTTTCATCTCAAGAAATTAGAAAAAGAAGAGCAAACTAAAGCCCAAATAAGCAGAAAGAAGGAAATTAACCCCCACGCATGATAAAAACCCTTAAGAAAACTAGGAATAGAGAATTTCCTCAACTTCATAAAGAACATCTATAAAAAAACATATAGTTAACATACTTAAGTGAAAGACTGAATGCTTTCCACCTAAAAGTCAGAACAAGACAGAGACAGGATGTCTGTTCTCACCACTGTTACTCAACATAGTAACCTTAAAGATATTATGCTAAGTAAAATAAGCCATACACAGAAAGATAAATATGGTATGACTCCACTTATATTTACCTAGTCAAATTCACAGAGACAGAAGGAAGAACAGCGTTTAATAGAGGTTAGGGGGAAGGAGGAATGAGGAGTTGGGTGTGTAATAGGTAGTTTCAGTTGGGGAAGATGAAAAAGTTCTGGAGATAAATGGTGGTGATGGATATACAACATGTGAGTATATTTAATGCTACAGAACTCCACACTTTAAAACCATCATAATGGTAAGTTTTATGTTACGTATATTTTACCACAATAAAAAAAATAGATGACCCAAACTGTATTATAGCTAATAAAGAAAACTTCACTCTTAATGAAAACCTTCCCACAAAGAAAACTCCAGGTTCAGATTGCTTTAGTGGTGAATTCTATTAAACATTTAAGGAAGAAATAATATCAATTCTATCCAAGAAAACAGTAGAAATGATTCAACTCACTTTATAAGACAAGTATTACCATGATACCAAATCCTTGAGGAGACATTACAAGAAAATACATCTGTAAATATCGTTTAAAAATATAGGGGCAAAAATCCTTAAAATGTTAATGAACCAAATCCAAAAATATAAAAATATAACACAGTATGAACAAGTAGCGTTCATCCCAGGAATTCAAGGTTGGTAGAATACTCAAAAAATCAATGTAATTCACAATATTAACTGAATAAAAAAGAAAAACCATGTGATTATCTCAATAGATACAGAAAGAACATCTGACAAATTCAATGATGATGATTATCAATTATCAATGAATTAAAAAAAAAAACCTTTCAGCAGACTAGGGAACTTCCTCAAACTGATAAAAGGCAACTATAAAAAACCTACAATTAATTTAGTTAATTATGTCATGGGGAAGAATGAATGCTTTGCCTCTAGGATTAGAAATAAGACACGAGTAGCTTCTCTCACCACTTGTGTTCAATGTTATACAGTCACATGCCACATAATGAATTTTTGGTTAATGACAGACTGCATATACAATGGTGGTCCCATAAGATTAGTACCACACAGCCTAGGTGTGTAATAGGCTATACCACTTCGGTTCATGTAAGTACATTCAGACGTTCGCACAACAATGAAATCGCCTAACGACACATTTCTCAGAATGTATCTCTGGCATTAAGCAACACCACTGTATTAGTGGTCCTAGCCAGTTATTAAAGAAAAAGAAATAAAAGGCATATGTAGTTAAGAAATGAAGAAGTAACATATTTTTATTCACAGATAACATAATTGTGTATGTAAAACATCCTTGGGAATCTCCAAAAGATCTACTAAAATAAATAAGAGTAGCAGTTACAAAATATAATGTCGATATACATAAATCAATTGGGTTTCTATGTACTTTCCACAATTGGAAATTGAAACTGTAAAATACATGCCATTTATATCATCATCAAAATCGTGAAATACATCTAAACAAACTATGTGTAAAACATATACACTGAAAGCTACAAATCATTGAAAAGAAAAATTAAAGGGAGAGATATACCATTTTAATGGATCAGAAGAATCGATATTGTTAAGACATAAATCCTCTCCAGACTATTCTAAAAACTCAAAACTATCTCAACCAGAATTTCAAGCAAAGTCTTTGAAGAAATTGACAAGAAATTCTAAAATTTATATGGAAACAACAAAGAATGTGTAATAATCAAAATAATTTTGAAATGAAAAACATATTTGGAGAACTAAATCTTCCTCATTTAATAACTTTCCACAAAGCTACATAATCAAGGGGTGTTACAGACATACAGATCCATTAAACAGAATAGAGTCCAGATATAGAACTACAGATACATGGTCAATCTGTTTTTGACAAAGGTGCCAAGGCAGTTCAATGGAAAAATAATAATCTTTCCAGCAAACGGTGTCAATATAACAAAACATAGAGATACACAAAATGAACCACGACCCTCATTTCACACCATATGGAAAAATTAACTGGCAATGAATCATAGGCCTACACGTAAAACTATAAAACTTCTTCAAGAAAACACAGGAGGAAATTATAGTGACCTTGGATTAGGCAAAAATTTCTTTTAAAAAAAGACACAAAAATCATGAAATATAAAAGAAAAACCAATGATACATTAAAAAACAAATGGAAAACTCTGCTCTTCTAAGACACTGTTAAGAAAATAAGAGCAGCATAATTGGTCTTGTATCTAGATTATATAAAAAACTCTTTCAGGGGCCGGCCCCGTGGCTTAGCGGTTAAGTGCACGCGCTCCGCTGCTGGCAGCCCGGGTTCGGATCCCGGGCGCGCACCGACGCACCGCTTCTCTGGCCATGCCGAGGCCATGTCCCACGTAACAGCAACTAGAAGGATGTGCAACTATGACATACAACTATCTACTGGGGCGTTGGGGGAAAAATTTAAAAAAAAAAGAGTAAAAAGATTAAAAAAAAAAGAGAAATGAGCTAAGTCAGAGGAGGAGGACAATGAAGCGGAAAATTGTTCATACTTTAAAAAAAACAAAAAAAAAACTCTTTCAACTAAGTAAGACCAAACAAGATTTTTTTTTAATGATCTCAAGATTTAACCGACTTCAAAAAAAGAAAATAAAAAGCACATGAAAAGATGTTCAACTTCACTAATCATCAGGAAAATGCAAATTAAAACCCAATAAGATACAAAGACACCCACTAGAATCTTTAAAAAAAAAAACATGACTTAAAATACCAAACTTTGGTGAGGATGTGGAGCAACTAGAACTATCATACACTGCTAAAGGGCATGCAAATTGGCACAGCCACTTTAGAAACATCTAGCAGTTCTTATAAAGTTACCATAAGACCAATAATATCATACTTCTGGGTATTTACACAAGAGAAATGGACACATATGTCTACACAAACACCTGTACTTAAATGGACATAGCAGCTTTATTCCTAAACAGCCCAAACAGGAAAAAATCTATGTCTATCAACTGGTATATGGATGACAAACTGTGGTTTATGCTTGCAAAGGAATACTACTCAGGAATAAAAAGAATGATATACACAAAAACGTGCATGAATCTCAAAAGCTAAATGAAAAAAGCAAGAAAAAAGAGCAAATACTGTATGATCTATATAAAATTCTAGAAAGGCAAACTATTGCAACAGAAAGTAGATCAGTGGTTGACAGGGGCCAGGGAGAGGGATGGGGGGAGAAGAATCACTGCCAAGAGCCACAAGAAAACTTTCTGGGGTGACAGAAATATTTTATATCATTATTTTAGTGGTGGTAATCACCTATACACATTTCTGAAACTCATCAAATTATACATTGAAAATTACTGACTTTTATTTTCTGTTAATTACACCCCAATAGAAGTATTTTAAAAATTAAAAAGGACAGAGAAAACAGAACTGCACTCTAGAGGGAGTCACATGGTAAGGTCTGCTCACCCACGGAGACAAGGTGGCTGTAGTTCTCCAGCATCACATCCCTGTACAGGGCCCTCTGCACAGAGTCCATCTGCTGCCACTCCTCCTGGGTCAGCTCCACAGCCACGTCCTTGAATGACAGTGATGCCTGTAACAGCACATTTCCATTCAACATGAAGAGTTCAGAAACAGGTGATATGGAAAATACCTTTGAAAACTAATTTGTATCATGTTTACTGTGAGAAGTTAAAACAAAATTTTATAAAGGATGCGTACTATGTCCTATCGTTATCTTATACTTTGGGGTACTCACATAACTGGTACAAATACTATTCTTATGCTCTAAAGTATTTGTATTTATTTACAAATTAAATAAAAAACTGTCAGTTAATATACTACTGATTAAGTGCCTTTTTTTTTTTAAGCTAGTTTTTATAACTTGCCTTCCTATAATCTTTACCTGTACTCCAACAGACTGTCCTGAGCACTCTCTAGGGTACATACACCCATTTGGAGTTCTCTGCTGGGGTGGGATGGGGAACCAACGAAGAGATACAGGTAAACCCTGGAGGTAGTATGCATGATCAGACTTGTCTTGCACAAGCAATGCTCTGGAAGAACAGTGGAGGAAGTCTTAAGCAACAAAACAGAAGAGGCCAATTTAAGGACCTCCAGGGCATTATGCTAAGTGAAATAAGTCAGACAGAGAAAGACAAATACCATATGATCTCTCTTATATGTGGAATCTAAAACAAAAAACAAAAACACTAAGCTTGTAGACATAGAGAACAGATTGGTGGCCACCAGAGGGAAGGGGTGGGGGGGTGGGAGGAATGGGTGAACTGTTTTTGGTATTTTTAGTTTAAATAAATTGAATTTTAAAAAAAAGGAAAAAAAGACATGACCTATAATAAAGTAAAGCAGTGGGGACGAAGAATGGGAAACTGATACCTATAAGAGAAAGGAACAAAATTTCCATCACTAATTTTTTTTTTTTTTTTTTTACAGCTGTACATATAGATAAGCTGCATGAGCAACTGGGTAAATGTCGATGCCATTGTGAGATAATGGAAAATATATATATATATATATATATATATATAGCTCTGTCCCTAGTTCCTGGCACAGAGCTCCTAAAACCCTTGTAAATCCCTAAGTAATAACAGCACTAGCAGCATCTTCTGTTCTAATGAGGCAATTCTGGTGTGTTCCTGGATGGGGGGGCTGGTCACCAGAAAGAACAAGCCATAATTAGAAGCTAGGAATTTTTAGCCCTGCCCCCAGCTTTTCTAGAGAGGAGAGAGGAGTTGGAAATAGAGTTGTTAATTCATCATGCCCATGTGATGAATCCTTCATAAAATTCCCAAAAGTATGGGGTTTGAAGAGCTTCCAGGTTGGTGAACATATCTGTATAGCAGGAGGGCAATGCACTCCAACTTCATGGGGACAGAAGCTCCTGTGCTCGGGACCCTCCCAGACCTCACCCTATGTATCTCTTTATCTGTATCCTTTACCAGTTTATTAGAGGATATGATAAACATAAGTGTTTCCCTGAGTTCTGTGGGCCGCTCTATCAAATTAATCGAACCAAGGAGGTTCGAACCTCAGATTTACAGCCAATAGGTCAGAATCACAGGACAAGTGGGACTTGCAATTGGCATCTGAAGTGGAGGGGGAGCAATATTGTGAGACTGAGCCCTTAATCTATGGGATCTGATGCTATCTCCAGGTAGACAGTGTCAGAATTGAGTTAAATTGTAGGACACTCAGCTGCTATTGCAGAGAATTGCTTGGTGGGGGCAAAAACCCACACATTTGGTGACCAGAAGTGTCAGGGTATTCTGTGTGAACCGTAAAAGAGACATACAGGAGGGAAGACTACTGAGTTTTCTAACTCAGCCATACACTGAGATTAGAAGAACAAAAGTAAGGTAATGGGCAGATGTTTTTCATCTACACTATATTATCTGTGAACATACAGATGGAATTATACACTGCACTGCTGTCTGCATGATTCTGGAACACAAAAGGGAGGTCTAAAATTGATGTACAGAGTTATTGCAATCACACACAGAATCAGAGCACATTTTGAAGACAGAAAAGTGGATTCTAAAACTTATGAAACTGAGGACGAAGAGGTTAAAAAAACCTTCCCCGGGCTAGAAGAAGAGAGCAAAAACTTTGAGATGAGCTTTGCTAACTGCAGCTGTGCACATTCAGCATAATCAACTATTGCTTCAAACTAACCAGGTCTTTCTGTCCCTCCTTAGTATATGAGTGAGCTGTCTTTCCCAGGAAGTCAAGGTCCAGACATTAAGATTCAGCCTCACAAGGCCAAACTCAGGCCAAAGGCGAAAGCTAACCAGAGAAGTCCAGACAGTCAAGGGAAAGAAATTCAGTCTTCAAGGCCAAATGCAGGCTGGTGGGAAGGTGGCAGCCAGCAGGGCCTCATGCTCCCCCTCCCTTACCTAAAACTCGAGCACATGCTTTCCCTCGAACCTTTAAAACCCCTTGCCTCCCATCTTTCGGGGAGACGGGACAAATTTGAGAGCTCTCATCTCCTGGCTGATGTCACCCGAAATAAAAACTCTTTCCTTGCCATAAGCCTGGCATTCCAGTTTTATCTGGCCCCTCTTGTATGGCAGGTAAAGAACTTGGGTATGTATCCAGTAACACTTATAGGAAGACGTAAAGGACTTAAAACATTTAATACAATTATGGAAAAAGAACAAGGTTGGGAGATTCACATTACTGATTTCAAGACTTATTTTAAAGCAACAGTGATCAAGGCAGTATGATAGTAGCAAAAGGACTGACACAGATCAACAGAAAACAATACTGACTCCAGAAACAGAACCACAAACAATATAATTAAGTCAAATGATTCCCAACAGAGGTGCCAACGCAATTCAGTGGAAAAGGTATATTCTTTTCCACAAATGTTGTTGGAACTATCAGACATACATAAGCAAAACTAAATAAATGATCTTGATCTATAACTTGTACCACAAATAAAAAATCAACTCAAAATAATCAGAGACCTGTAATTATAAAACTTATAAAAACATGAGAGGAAATCTTTGTGACCTTGGTTTAGAAAAAGATTTTCTTACATATGACCAAAAAAGCACAACTAGCAAAAGAAAAAGATTAAAAATTTTGAAAATGTGATTAAACACTTCTACTCTCTGAAAAGACACATGGTGAGAGAAAAACCAGGAGAGACCTACTTACTGATTTGATACTCAAAATCTTCACACAAAAACCTCCCACAAATAACAGGCAATTTTTTTCATATAAATTACAGGGGGAAAAACATGAAACAAAGAAAAAAGGAGCAGGAAGGTGTCCCATTCTTTTTATGAGGCTAATATAACCAAAAACCAAATTGTAAAAGAACACAGGAAAAAGAAATTATAGGCTTACATAACTTGTGATACAGAAATAAAAAAGTACTAGCGGAAAGACCCCAGGCAACATATATACAAAGCAACTCATCAGCAAGCAGGTGTATACAAGAAATCAACAATAAATTAACATCAGAAAATTCATTATGCTAATCACAATATTTATAAATTAAAAGAAATAAGCTGTCTCTATTTCAACAGATACATACTAAGGGTTCCTGGACCCAATTCCAAGTGAGGAGGCTTCCCCACACCAACAAGTTCTCAGACACCAGTAGGGTGTCCAATAATTCAGCTCAATTCTGACACTACCTACCTGCAGATAGAATCAGATTCCACAGGTAAAGGGCACAGTCACACAAGATCACCCTTCACTTCAGACACCAGCCGCAAGCCTGGGGGTTCCAACGACTGCCTCCAACTCAGGATACCAATTGCAAGTCCAGGTCATCACCTGTGCTTCTGACCAACTGGCTATAAATCAGAGGTTCCTGTGACCCCTCCTCAGGTCGATTAATTTGCTAGAATGGCTCACAGAACTCGAGAAAACCCGTTTACTCACTAGATTATCGATTTATTACAAAGAATCTTAAAGGATACAAATCAACAGCCAGATGAAGAGATACATAAGGGCAAGGTCTCGAAGAAAACAGCTTCGGTCCTCGTGGAGCTTGGGGTCCGGCATGTGGCACGAGGAAGCTCTTCATAAAAAAGGACCAAAGAGCTGTCCTTTTGGGTTTTTATGGAGGCTTCATTACTAAGTCATAAGATTGACTAAGTCACTGGTCATTGGCAGTTGATTCAACCTCAAGCCCCCCCTCCCCGGAAGTCAGGGGGTGGGACTGAAAGTTCCAGTCCTTTGATCACATGGCTGGTTCTCGTGGCAGCCAGCCCCACTCTTGGGTGGGGTCCAAAAGTCACCCTCATTGACGGAAACAAGACCTTTACGGCTCCGAAGAGAGTTCAGGAACTGAGGACAAGAGACCAAATATGATGACAAAAGATGCTCCTCTTGCTCTTGTCGCTCAGGAAATTCCAAGGGTTTCACCAAATATATCTGAGAAATATACTTCAGTCATCTGAATAGCCAAATATATATATTTCTTATAAATCACAACGCAGAAAAAGTACTCAATATAATTCAAAGTACCGTCTCAACTAAACTAAAATCTAAGCAAACTGACAACTGGAGGGAATATACTTATTAAACAAGGGTTACCTACCAAGAACCAACAGCAAACATCAGAGCTAATGTTGAAACTCTTTATCTTTCCTCAAGCCTGGCCTTATTTCTATTTCTCCTTTTCCAGTTAACGTATGGACTCTTATAAACCTCATAAATCCACTATAATGCAAAGTGGGGAATGAATAAAGAGCTCACCTGAAATGTATCCATTCTGCTGCTCTTGGGAGAGTGCAAATAACTGTGATGGTTCAGCTGGGAGGCCTGGGAAGGACCATGCAGAGGCAGCACCATCTATCCACATAAGACTCAGAAATGGTCATGTGGACTAAAACCTACAGCTTTTCACTGACTAAATATAAACTTTTCTATGGTTAAACGACAACTGTTTTTTTGAACGATTAACAGAAACAACTAACACACGAGAATCAGTTAAAGTATATGAAGGATAAGGCATTGTTCTTTCATTAAAATTAACAGAGCAAAATACTCAGGCTATATCACGTAACTATTTTCCTATTAACACTGCTTACCGTTCAAGAGAGAAAATCCACAGAAAGCCCACTAAAAGGAATATAGTGTTCTAAAGCAAGAAATTTCCATGAGTTTTTAACTGGGTTACAGTTTCTCAACAGATCCTTTTCATAAGCTGCTTTTGGTGACTTACCTGTGACAAGGTGCACTGCACTTTTTCCTCCTGGCTCTGTCACAAACTGGGTGTCCCTTGACAAGTCACTGAACTGCTCAGGTCCAATTTCTTTAAAGCTTTCAAGAGTCAGAAGTAGATGACCATGGAAAACCTTCGTGACCCATTATTTTGGGATTGTGAGGTCAGGATAAGTCAATAAGATCACATGTGGCAACTGACACATGTGAGACTGCATAGCATCTGTAAAGACTGAAGAATGAAGGGACTGGGGGCCATTTAGCAACAGTGGAGACAGAATTTCACCCTCTGGTTGGTCACTCCTCTCCCCTAGACCTCAGCCTCACAGGCTTTCCCAAAGTGGCCTTTCTCAGGCAACATACCCCTGGGCCACCCCAGCCCACCTCCTTTTCTCAAAGCTGGCCCAAATCTCCCACTATTGCACAGTGTGGTGGCTTCCGGATGTGGCAACATCTCCAAATCTGGGCAGGGGGATCAAGAACTGCTTCTGACCATGCAAATTTAGGCCCTGCCCCTTTCTGTGCTCTTTTGCCTCTGCTTTGACACTTTGGGTAGGACATTAAGAACAGGAGTGTTCTCTTCCAGGTAAAATTCCCCTTCCTAGAGACCTCCTGATTCCTATAACACAAGAGCTGCTTTGTTCTAAAATGAATGTTTCCCAAGATCTGGGACCTGGGTCTGGGAAACAAATTCACTTTAGGGCCAAAAACCTGACTCTCTTGGAATTCAGTATAATTTCAAACAAAACACAGACAACTTGCCAGAGCAGGAAGAGCTAGGAGCCTCTGCCTGACCCAAGGACTCTGAGACACTAGAAATTCCAGAATACATCTGACAGTGGTGAGAGTCCATTCACATTCCCTGGGGATCCAAGGATAGGTCATTCTGCTAAGCGCTGTGAAGGCTTTTATGTGAACGGTTTTAGGCAGGTGTGACGTTTAAGCAAAGCCTAGGATTTAAAGCACACCTGCCATTAATCCGAGCTCCCTCCCCGCTAGCTTGTGACCTGAGCACATGGCTCCACCAATCTGAGCCTCCGTTGTTTTTTTTTTTTTTTTTTAATGCTGATGGTTATGGGGACCTCATAGAGTAGCTGTGAGAACGAAGTGTCTTCTGAATACAACAGCAGGTGTCACTCAGCTATTTTCTGCACGGGTGTGAACTTACCTAACTCTCAGAACAACGCCGCTATTGTCACATGAGAAAGTCAGATGAGAAACGGGACTCTTGCCCAGGTTCCTTGTGTCGCCGCTGCCTACAGGTGACAGAGCTGGGATTTACCGGGCCTTGCTGGTTCTCCCCGCAGACCCACCCCCCGCGCTTTATAAACCCACCACCGCCGACACGGGCTTCTCCCGCTCGGGCCGCAGGCGGGCCGGGCACACGGTCCGCGCACACCCGGGCCGCCCGGGACACCTGCTCCTGACGGGCTCAGCCGCACCTGCGCCCCGGGAGCCCGACGGCCGGGGTCCCCCATCGGTCCAGGCCGGCTCCTACACCGCAGGGTCCCACATGGGGGACTCCCGGGACTTCTAGTTCCCTCTTACCCGGGCACAAGCCCACCCTTCCATTCTGGTCCCCAGGCCACCCGGACTCCCCGGCACCCTCGCCTCGCACTTGAGGTGCAACCACTTGGGACCCACGCCGCAGAGAAAGACTGCGCAACGATCCTCACGCAAGCGCGGAGACTGCGGAAGCCGGAAGACGGGACTAGGGCTGTACATGCGCAGATGCAGCCCAGAAAACCCGTCCCAGGGTGCTGCGCGGCGAGCCGGTTCGGTACAAGACTACGTTTCCCATAAAAGTCCGCGCCTGCTCATTGATGTGACTTGGCAGCGTTTCCGGTTTTTTAGAGGGTTGGAAGATGATGGCCTTCGCATTGTCTCGCGCGCAGGTTGTCTCAGAATCCCTAAATGTTAGGGGTTAAACGTGAAGTTTACTGCGAAATACAATGCGTAGTCCTCAAGCAAATCCCCATTGAATAAACAACAGCTGCCAGAGACATTGGAGACAATTGAGAAAACTTGGCTATGCACTGGGTTACTCTTAAGTGTAAAAATGATATTCAGATAGGAAAACGTACTGGTTTCATAAAGGCATGCATAGTGAAGTATTTAGGATTGAAATTATATCTTTGTAAATTTATTTCACAAATTTTAAGGAAAAGCAATTAGACAAAGTCTAATGCTTAATGTTAAGTTTTTCAGCAAGGAAATGGGTATAGATAAATGCATATTTTACCATTTTCTAAGTGCTTGAAAATTTTGCAATACAAAGTGGAAAAAAGGGGAGGGGAATGTGGATACTACCTCCATCAGTGTACTTTATAAATTCAAAGCTGCAGAGAGATTTAAGGTGCATAGAGATACCTCTTAGGAATAAGACCGTGAAATGGTTATAAAATAATTAACAATGGAGCACAGTAGTAGTAGAAGAAACAATTTTTCTCTCCTTCACCAAACTCTAGCTAGGCTCCTCTAAGCCTGCTTCTCAGCTAGGCCTGTCAGATTTAGCCTAGAAAGACTTGCATGAAACACTAACGTTTTGTAACAGCTCAAGTTCGAATCCCTTGGATGACATTAATCCCCCTTAAAGTGCCTGCCTGAGAAAACTCAAGATAGCCAAAAGAATTTGTTTGATCCAGCCAAAACCTGAAGCTCAAGTCCCTGTCTCCCAGTCTCTCTAGGAGAGTGGGAGCCAGTGTCCACAAGCAGTTAGCAAACCCAGATAGATTTCACATGGACCAATCCCCCCTTCCTACTTTTTGTAATTTTTCACTTCCTTTACTCTGCTGAGCCCTGGCTCACCCTCTCTCTATTCCCCCCTTCTCCCTTTAAAACTCCCAGTCTCCTCTGTACAAATTGAAGTTGAGTTCAGTTCACACTGTACTCTCTTCCCTATTGCAATTGCATATTACCAATTAAAATCTGTTCTCGCCACTTTAACTAGTGGCCAAGATAGAGAATGCAGCCACAGCCCTTTCTATGCTTGCAGGTGAGTGACAGGTGATGGAAATGGGAGCTAACTAATCTTTTCTCACCACTTTATCTTTGACATATAAAAGAATAGTATCTATAAGTAGCAGGGCTTAAAAGAAAAAAAAAGCAAATAACCTTTTCAAAATTACATAAATAATACATGAGAATATACACAACCCAAAATAAGCAAATGGTTATCATGCAAATCATTCACATCCCAGAGATGACCCTACTTAAACCTAAAGTGAGCATCCTCTTGTCTTAGTACCAAATTAGGGACATCTGGTCATAATATTATAGGAACTTCTTGTTACTAAATTACATCTAATGAGCATATTTTTGGTAAATATTTTATAGCATCAATTATTTCTTATGACAATGATAGACTTTTTAAAAATTAGATCCTATTCACCCTAGGAGAAAAAAAGGAATTGAGTCATCAAGAAGTTAGTGCAATCCATGAGAACACAAGTATAAAGCTTTACTCCTGAGATTTCGGAGAACTTGAATAAGTGCCAGTTTTCTATATGAGAACACTAAATATTCTTTGCCAAAATTCAGATTAGAAACTCAAACGTTTTGTCAGCTTGTTTTCTCTCAACATTTTTTTTTACTTTTTAACCTAAAGGAACTATTCAAACTTCAATAGGACAAAAATAAACAATATAATGATCAGAGAAGTGTTGCAAGACACAGCAATGTCCTTCACACATTAATACATGTGCTATTGCTAAATCACTGCACAGTTTTCCTGCAACAGTGCAGGTCCAGGGAGAAAAGAAAGTGAGAAGCACCACATGTGGAGCTGGCGTTCAGAGCAGTGAGCCAGAGAAGCTGCAACCAATCACCTCGTTAGGGGCACGAGGCAGTCGCTGGGACAAAGTAGGGCCATACGCACAGCTTTCACGTAAAACAAATAACTTTTCAAGAGTTAGATGTTTATAGGAAATTACTAAATTCTTTAAGAAAACGTACATTTCATAAAAATAAATATATAAATATAAACCTCTCAGCACGTTTCCTAAGAAACGCTCACCCCCGCACCCACCCCATCCCACCCCCAGGAACCCGGACTCTGGAGCCCGGCCTGGGAGTTCTGAGAGGGGCGGCCGCTCGCCCCTAGAGCCGAGACCCCCTCCGCTCTTCCCTCTTCCCCTTCGGGCCCTGCGGGAGAGAAGCCCGGGAAGGGGGGACAGCGACCAGCCCTGGCCCTCCCACTTGCCTCGCTCTGCCGGATCCGGGACGGAAACATCAAAAGCAGAGACAGGTGGCAGCGGAACGCACACTTACTTACTGAACATCTCATCTCCTATGTGTCAGAAACAGTTCTAGATACTTGATATTTGCCTTCCGGTTCATCTTCTCAACAACCACTTAAGGTGAGTATTATCCTCAGATGATTTCCGTCAGAAAAGAGACTCTTGGGAGAAGGGATTGGAGGGATTCTCAAAAGTGAAGCTGGTCCATTACTGATCCCTCCCTCCCAAGGAGGGGAGGTCTGTCCTCCTGCCTCACTGTGTCTGCCTTCTCTTCACCCAGAGCAAGCTCACTCTGAGGGGATAGACTTTCATTTTACTGACATGGGAGCCCCTGAGCAAAGGCACCCAGGACAATGAGAGTATCATGGTGGTTCTGGGGTGGTCACAGGAGTGTCCCATGGAGAGAAACAGAGAAATAACTAGTCATATGGAAACACAAAACCTCTGTCATTTCTGGTGGGGAATGAGACGCATCCCGAAGGAAGTAAACACTGGTAAAGTTATAGACACATGGGAGGGCTCAAAATTAAAGTCTGCTGAACTCAGGCGGCCCAAATTAAATCAGGTTCCATTTCCAGAGAGTCTGTAGTGCATGGAATCCATGGTGAATCCCTGCTGTTTCTGTTGCCGTTGTTGCTGAGTTTGTTACTGGGATCATTAAAGTTCATAGTAAGAAAATGTCAGATATAGGGTCTCAAGTGAATAGAAGGGATAGTGAGAGAGAAGGCTTGGGGTTTTCTGGGCAGGAAGTGGGGGGTTACAATAAACTATTGAACCAAGATAGAGAGTGCAGCCACACCCTTTTCTATGCTTGCAGGCGAGCCACAGGCGATGCAAGTGGGAGCTTATGTGAGAGGAGTCAGGGACAGCTGCTCCCTCCATCCCCTTCCCCATGTGGTGCCAGGGGAGTAGCTTTGGCTCTCTGTTTTCCGTGTTTGTCTCCTTCCACTTTGGGAAATAGAGCAGGAGTTGAAAGAAACAAGGGGTTATAACTTCCTTTTCCATCTAGAAAATTGAACTAGGGATCAGGTTTGAGTCTCCTCCAGGCTTCAACATGAACTTACTGTGTGACTTCAGCAAAGTCATTCCACATCCTCGGGATCATGTTCTTCCTCTGTGAAGCAGAGATAAAGCAGTCGTCACAGAATTACTACAGGTGGGAGTCAGAATGATAGGAATCAGAGTGGTGGAGCCAGGGTGCCAGTATCCACCCCATGTAGGGGTGGTTTACTACCCTGTAAGTGTGCAAGGTACGTGTACATTGAGGGTGCCTTGTGCTGACCTCCACCTCCCCCAGACTCTCCTCTCTGTCTCCCTCTCCTCTCTCCCCTTTCTCCTCTCCTCTCTCTTCAACAGAATGGTCTCTGGCTTCTTCCTGGAGGTGCTGGAAAGAAGAGAGGGAGTTACACATTCCCCATCCCTTCTCCCCACTTAGATCCCAGGG